ATAATAATATAATATATAATCACAAAATGAAGGAATATATAAATATTAAAACAAAATACCATTAATTTAAATAAACTCATAAAAATCTAATATTCGAACGGGGCGCTACAACTCCCCATGATCAACATATCGTCTACATATAGACATACAATTACATATGTATTTGATGTATGTTTAACATAAACACATTTGTCACATTTGTTGATTTTGAACCCATTTGACAACATCACGTCATCAAATTTCTAATGCCATTGTTTCGGAGCTTGTTTAAGTCCGTACAAGAATTTAATCAATTTGCACACCTTTTTCTCTTGTCCAGGTGCTACAAAACCTTCGGGTTGTTCCATGTAAATCTCTTCTTCTAATTCACCATTCAAGAATGTCGTTTTGACATCCATTTGATGAATCTCAAGATTGTGCAAAGCAGCAATCGAGAGAAGCACTCTAATTGACGCTATTCGCGTAACAGGTGAATAGGTATCAAAGAAGTCATATCCTTCTTTTTGTTTAAAGCCTTTGACCACTAATCTTGCTTTAAACTTATCAATCGTTCCATCAGCTTTTTATTTTCTTTTTAGGATCCACTTTCATCCTAAAGAGTTACAACCCGTAGTGAGATTAACCAACTCCCAAGTATGATTTTGCATAATGGACTCAATTTCTCTATTTATAGCTTCTTCCCAGAGTGGTCCATCTGGGCTAGACAGAGCTTCCTTAATTGAACTTGGTTCATCATCCAACATATACGTAATATAATCAGGTCCAAAAGTTTTTGTCGTTTTTACCCTTTTACCACGTCTCAGTTTTTCTTCTTTATCTTCAGTACCATCTGGTACAGAACCGCTAGCAGTTTCATACGTCCTTTTGTTAGAACTAGATTCTGCCCTTTCCTTCAAAGGAAAAATATTCTCGAAGAATATAGCATTTCTCGACTCAATAGTGGTACCAACCGATACCTCCGAATTTTCTGATTTATGAACCAGAAATCTATATGCAGTACTATTGTAAGCATATCCAATAAAAATACAATCGACCGTCTTAGGTCCGATTCTCATTTGTTTTGGTTCAGGAACTGAAACCTTAGCGAAACACCCCCACACTTTCAGGTAATTATAAGACGGCTTACGAATTTTTCCACATTTCGTAAGGAGTCTCATTTTTTCCTTTAGGTGGTATTTTATTCAGAATATGATTTGCTGTTAAAACAGCTTCCCCCCACATATTTTGGGGTAATCCTGAATTTATCAACATGGCATTCATCATTTCTTTTAAAGTCCGGTTCTTGCATTCAGCAACACCGTTCGACTGTGGAGAATAGGGGGTCGTCGTTTGATGAATTATGCCATATTCAGAACATATTTGTTCAAAAGGAGCTACATACTCCCCACCCCTATCACTTCGGATTATGTTAATCTTTTTGCTGAGTTGATTTTCAACTTCGGTCTTAAAATTTTAAAAGCTTTCACAACCCCGTCTTTGCTTCTTAAAAGATATAAGTAGCAAAACTTGTGCAATCATCAATAAAAGTTATAAAATACCTTTTACCCGTTCTTGTTTGCACAATCTTCAAGTCACATACATCAGTATGGATTAAACCCAACGGTTCAGTATTTCTTTCCACCGAGTGAAAAAGGTAATTTAACCATTTTGGCTTCCACACAAATTTCACATTTTTTGTGTGATTCAATTTTAGAATTAGGAATTAATTTTAAGTTCATCAATCATTTAATTGCATTTAGATTCACATGTCCTAATCTAATATGCCATAAATCAGAGCACTCCACGATATAAACAGAAGTAGGATTTTTATTATTAGCAGAAACGGTTACACGGCTCACAACCATTACATTCATTTTAAATAATCCCTTGTCGAGATAGCCACGACCAAGGAAGGTACTAAACTTGCTAATAATAAACTTCTTAGCTTCAAACACTAACTAAAATTCATGCTCTACAAGAAGAGATCCGGAGACCAAATTCTTACGGATGTCTGGGACATGCAGAACATACTTAAGCTTCAACTCCTTTCCAGAAGTCAGCTTCAGCACCACGGTGCCAAATCCAGCTACATCAGACGAGGAGGAGTTGCCCATGTGGAGCTTCCGACCAGTAGAACGAGTGTAATCAGAAAACAACTCCTTGTCGGAACATACAAGGCGAGTGGCACCAGTATCAATGTACCACGCCCTTGGGTTATCCACCAAATTGGCTTCAAAAACCACAGCCGACATATCCATGTCAGTTAGTTCACTCGGCACGGGGCCGTGTTCAGCAACGAGGGCACTATGCTGTGCTTTCTTCAGTCCAGCCTTTTTAAGCTTCTTGCAGCCCTTAGCCATATGGTTCGACTTTCCACAGTTGTGGCAATTGCCGATAAATTTCCACAATTTGGCAGGTTGCTGCTTCCCTTTGCTAAGGGGCTTTCTTTTTCTCGAGTTGCCTTGCTCCAGCAAGTTGGCACGAGCTTTCATCATCGGGGCCTTCCCCGAAGACTTTCGATTGTCCTCTTTAATCCAAAGACGAACAACCAGATCTTCAAGACTCATCTCCTTCCTCTTGTGCTTGAGGTAGTTCTTGAAGTCTTTCCAACCCGGCGGCAGTTTCTCGATCACAGCCGCAACTTGGAATGACTCGCTCAGAGACATTCCTTCAGCATGAATGTCGTGCAAGATGAGATGGAAATCTTGCACTTGAGACACGACGGTCTTAGTGTCGACCATCTTGAATTCCAAAAATTTGCCGACGACGAATTTCTTCACCCCTGCATCCTCAGTTTTGTATTTCTTCTCCAAGGCAGCCCAAAGCTCCTTGGCAGAGCCAACCGAGCTATACACATTGTACAACTCGTTACTTAGTCCGTTGAGGACATAGTTCCGGTCAAGGTAATCACCTTGGAAGCTGTAGCACACCAGCCTTTAACGTTCCAGCGAACGGGAATGAAGACGAGAAATGAGCACTACGATATGATGCGTGAGGCATTGAGAGTATTCAGAATGCATGAAATGTTGTATGTTTTTCTCTGCAGCTCTAAGTCCTATTTAATACAAGTCTCACACCTCCTGGAAATTGCCTAAAGCTTGCTCTCCTCGCCGGTTGAACACGGAACCTACACGAAACTCCCACACCGGAGGTGTTTTCCAGTGAAGAGCCTCCAACGCTCAAGTCAGATCTTGAGAGATAATATAAGTGTGTGAAAATATGTAAGAGTATATGAGGTTGTGTTCAAAGTGAGGATTCTCGCCCCTATTTATAGGGGCGAGCTACCTGTTCTACACACGCGAGTAGGGCGAGTTTGGCCAACTGTCCTCTGCTCGTCTGTACAACCGCGCGCCTCCACTATTCTTGATGTCAGAAAACGCGTCCCATTTATCAGGGAATGTCAGAGTTCGTTATAGCCATGGGCCACTCATAGAATGCCGCGTGTCCTCCCTTTCACATGCTGGAGATTCCCTTGTGCACTCTGTTGTTCGACCAATTCTGTACGACCACGTCCTATCTGACCATCCTCCCTCGACCAACTCCTCGAGTAACCAGTATATGTCGACCACTTCTGAACCCATTAGTCTCTACTGCCTGCTCTCTATCCGCTATTGCAGGTGTCTGGTCCGGTTCGACCATATCATTTGACCCGTTTTGTTTAGGTAATCCAATGAACCGGTCTATTTTCTCCGATTAACCCAGCAAACCGGTCTAGTATATAATATTCCATATCATCTAGTCCCCCCACTCTGGTTGAGTCTGAATGACTCGATCTAAGAGTAGGCTTTCGTCTATGTCGTGAAGGTTCTGCTTCCTCATTGTCGACCACCTAACACATTTCCTTCCTTTGCGCGTTTGCTTTCCTTTCTAACCGCCATTCTGTGCTTTTTGAATTTCAAATTTTGCCACTTGTCTGCCGTTTTGGGACGCGTCTTTTCGCCTGCTCAGAAGTTATGACAGCCTCGTGACCTGTGTTACCTCAAATCTCGCTCCCACTCTCACACACCTCATTTTCCCTGCCGTTGGATTTCCTACTTTAATCCCACGGCTCGGGACACACGTCTGTTCGCTTGCCCCCAATCGCGGCCCTTCATTACTACAATCCTACGGTCAGCGCTTTCTCCCCTTCAATTTTTGCCCTTATAAATATCCATACTTAGGAAAATTTTCCCCTTTTCTTCACATCGTATTCCATCGCACTAGAGCTTTCTGCAACTGTCAAGCATCCTGCAACCTTGAATTCTTCGTCCTGTCTGCAAGTTCTCCATCGTTATCCATGAGTAAGTCTTCTTTAACTTTCCATTTGTGTTTGCTAACTTTTAATTTTTGGGTTCTTCCTCTTTTCCTCGAACCTCTTCTCAATTCTGGCTCCGTCCATTGTTCGTCCTTCCCACTGTGCTCTCCTTCACTCTTTTCCGCCTTCTTCTCTGCTTTTACTCTTTCCTTCTCTTAGTTATAATTTTCTTTTCTTTTATCTCAAATTCTGCTACTTCAAGTGAGAATGACTGATACAGCGGGAAGGACCTGACTTCCCCTTCTTCTTCTGCGACCCTTGGCCTATCGAGCGATTCTGTACAAGAAATTCTTCAGCCTGAGCCCATTTCTATCCTTCCCCCTGCGACGATCAACGATAGTCCTACAGCCACTGCTATCTCTCCCTCCACCTATCTCGTCGACCAACCCGAAGATGAGGTTACCAGCCGCCCTCCTTCTCCTCCCGCTGAGCGAGCTCGTCGAGCTATCGATCAAGATGATGAGATTGAAGACGAGGACGATCCTCAGGACCACATCTCGTTATCTGTTCGTGATCCCCAAGACTTTGTTCCTATGTCTTCTCGCGCTCATGTCTCTTCGACCATGCCTTCTCACTCCCGTCGACCTAAGACATCCAAACGGTCCAAATCATCTAAACCCTCTTCGAGCGTCACCTACCTCGACTTTGATTCCATTGGCCATCCCGGTACTGCTCGTACTCCTGACGATGATGATACCTACAACAACCCTCCAGATGGCTATTACACCTTCTTCCACTCCCATTTTGACCTAGGCCTCTGTTTCCCTATCTGCCATGTGTTGATCGACCTGTGCGATTTGTATGGCTTGTCTCTCAACCAAATCACCCCCAACGCTTTCAAGACATTAGCGTCCTTTATTATCTTGTCCATAGTTCGCATGGGTAGAGTAGATTTAGACTTTTTTGTATATTGCTATTTTGCTTCCAAACAATCGGACGACCTCTATTTAAAAAGTTGGAATAAAGCTTGTTTTATTACTGATCGATCATCCAATGTTCCGAGATGGAAAGATCAGTTTGTGTATGTACGTCCCCCGCAGCCTTACCCTTGGGCGCCCATCCCCTGGCTCACAGAGGTTCCCCTAAAACCTGCTCGTCCTGCTACTAACCCAATCTTCGACCGTCGCATACAAGTGTAGAACTCCAATCCCGTCGCTTCTACTCCTCTACTTGAAGATGATAACCTTCTCCACTATTGTGGAATTTTGACCCATAAAGCGTTTTCTCCCCCTCTCTCTAATGAAATATGCGATCAACCAACATTTATCAAATTTGAAAAAGAGTCAGAAGAAATGGTTCGATCCTCTTATCTTGATTTCTCGAACCAAGAGATCCATGAATCGGGGCTGAGACCATTTTCCAAATTCGCATCGATCCTAAACTTGCTGAAGTTAATAAGACAGCTCGAGCAGGTGCTCGAGTCATCCTTATTATACGCTTTGAATTTATTACGTTTTATGCTGTCGATTGACTTTTTACTAGCTCCGTTCATGCAGAGGGATTTTTGCATAAGCCAGACCTGAAGAAATCCGGCGATAGGAGGTCTACCCATAAGGACACCCCAGCCGGTGTCGAGAAAGTCAAGGGGCAATCCTCGACCAAAGATGTGGCCTCTCGACCAGATAAATCCAATGTTGGCGCTTCCCCTCGCTCGAGCAAGCAACGGGCTCCTCCTTCTCCACCCCGGCAAGTCGAGCGCCATCCTAGTCACTTGACCAGAGAGAGCGACGCGTCTAAAAAATGCCCTCGAATCCAAGGTGACTGGTCCACACTCTGCCAATCCTCCTCCCTCCCCCAAGCGGTCACAACTTGAGGCGACTTCTACTGGGAATCCCCTTTCTTCGCACGCTCCTTCCCTCTCTCTGGTGTCAGCCGAACCTCGGGAGGCTGTGTCTCGGCTGATGAGCTTCCTACCATTCGACGATGCGCACCGATGGGGGGTGAATCGTCGCAATCAGGCCGAGTATGGCATTCGCGCAATGACACAGGTATATCTTCTTTCTAGCATTATCTTCGCGTATCCTGCCTTGCATCCTTCTTATTCTTCTTCTTACTACAGACTCTGGTCTCCATTGTGCCTCTCCTCGAGGAGGCAATGAATGGCACTGGTCGCCCATTTCCTGTGCTTGAGGGCGACAACAGGCGCCTCGAGGAGGAGAATAGAAGGTTGAAGGCCGAGAAAGAGGACCTGCTCAAAACACGTCACGCCTTGGTGGAGCAGCTGAAAAAAGATGAGCAGTGCTACAAGGATGCGTTGAAGGGTAAGGATAAAGCCCTTGAAGTGGAGAGGGCTAGTCGGAAGAAAGAAGTCGAGGCTGCTGCTATTACTGCGATCGAGCAGTCTTGTTGGGCTTTGTGGAGGACCCAAGTTGGTCACACTTTCTTCCAGGCCTATCGGGAGCAGTTGATCAAATACTACCTATGCTCGACGGCGTTCCTTAAAGAGGCTGCTGAGATGGGGATGGACTTCTACACCTACAGCATGGAGGAGGTTGAGCGCCAGCTGAAAGAGATGGGGTTCACAGGGGAGATCGACCAGGACAAGACATGGGAAGCGATTCCCTCTGCACCCTCTAACTTCACCGGTGATCCAAATTTGCCTGCTGAGCATCCTTGGTGGACCAGGTCTTTAGAGCGGACTTTGGCGGGGGATCCTTCCTTGAAGGGCTCTTTTGATATGCCTAGGCCCGGCGAGGCGCCCCTGGTTCGCCTTTCTGTGGCCGTTCTTCCTCCCCATCCTTTTACCACCAATGCCCCCTCGTCCATCTCCCATCCATCTGCCTCGGCCACCGCTCAATCTGCTGCCGCCTCCCTCTCCTCAAGCGCCACCTTGCACTCGACCACTACTACTTCTGTCTCCCTTGTGGCCGCCAAGTCGACCACAACGGCTCAGTTGGGGTTTGCTGCTTTTGCCTCGTCAGCTGCAAGAATTTCATCAACTGTTGTTGCCATGTCTTCGGCCGCGGCTGCCCAGTCGACCTCTTCAGCGCAGTCGTCTGCTACTATGTCTTCATCCTCTACCGCTGCTGCTCAGTCGACTGGCGCTTCTCCGTCTACCACTGTCCCTTCAAAGTAGCTTAGGCATTGACGATGTATTTTTATATTTTATTTTAGTGCAGTTTGTAATCTTGTACCCTTAATTGCATGGAATGAAAGTCTTTAATTTTTTTTTCCTCGTGCCGTGTGATGCTTTTACTTTGCCCCTCCCTATGTTGTTTTGTATGATGACTTTTTTATATAGACATTGAGTATGATCCTTGTTGTGTTGATGATCTTTTCATATCCTCGACCACTTGCCCATTTGTTTAGGTAGAGTAGCAACCCTTATGCTCGGTGCCCCTCACGGCGTGAAATTAGATGCCACTTACAATTTTTAAATGAGTATATAAATATATTATTTGACCTTCGCCCACCCCTTGGTCGGGGTGTTCCGAAAACGAAGAGCTTTGGTCTTCTCACTTGCCAACCCCAAGGGATGTTCTGAAAACATTGTGGTCATCCAGCCCGGAGGTGTGGACGTTGTCCACCACATGCCCACCCCTTGAAGTGTTCC